TTCACTATTCAATGCTTCTCTTAACTTGAAAATGAATGTTGCTACATTCGAAACGTCGTTAATATATTATTATTTGCTAAATCTGCCTTTTGATCTACCAACGTCATCTAAGAATTGTTCAACTCCTTGAAAATTCAAATGCACTCTCTGGTCATAAATTGTACGCATATAATCAAGATATTTCTGTCATCTTATAATAAATTGATTAAAGTAAATGAATCATTAATTGAACATTAATGAAGCAGGACAGTTACTTTGTGACCACAAAAAAGGAATACACACATTATAATTTTTTTAATAAGTATCTGGAAATTCTTCACCGCATTACTTGTGATTGCAGGCGTGTGCCGCCCTGATCAGTTCAAGTGCGCCAACGGCCGCTGCATAGACGAGACGTGGCGGTGCGACGGAGACAAGGACTGTTATGACGGCGACGACAGCGACGAGGACGGCTGTGCTAACCGGCCACGTGAGTAACTCTACTGACATTCTGACTGACTAACTTCCCTCCCAACTCTACTCGCATTTATAAGCACTTCCACTATTAACCTAATGTTGTCCGTATATATACACGAGGAAGTACCACATAAGGATATACAAAAAGAATATATTTGCCGAAGGTAATGCTTATGAGTTTCCACTGCAGACCGTGCTGGCGTTACCTTGACTTCAGAAGATCATCTCTTGCGTGTAATTTTGTTCCTTTGTTTTCGTAGCAACCGCGCACAGTTTGCCCCAAGCCTCGAAGTGTCACCGAATTCAACACAACAAACAAACTTTTTCAACACTTATCCCCTAACTTTCCACAAAATTCTTTGCTCAAGTTATTTAGTAATTGACCCGCAAATTACGTTCTAAACGTGTTTGCTTGCTGTTATCTGGGATCTAAAACCGTACGATATGAAGTTTCATCCTAAGACGTTTCCTCTGTTTGTGTTAGTGTAGTGAGTGTTGTTGAAGAACATTTCAGATAGTTTACACCTGTGTTGTGAATGATTCGAACTTATTAGTGTTAGTTCTGATGGGTCATTTATGTTAAATTTAATTATCAATCAGCATCTGCTGGGTGGCATGTTGTATATGCTGTGCTCCTTATTTATGTGGGTGTCGTTTGACTGGTATTCAAGTACTGTGGTCTGCTGTTATATATATTCTGTGTTCGGAAGTGGTGTTTCGATTCGACAATGCACAACTTTAAATGATTGATTAAATCTGGCCTTTCTATGGTCCGTAGTCTGGACTACATTGACTTGAGTTTAATTACATGTTAGGTCTTGCTTTTTTACTTATTTGCCCTAATTTTCCGTTTTATAGTTACATCTGTTGAATAATTAAGCAAGCAAAACGTAACGTCACAATTGAATAAAAAATCTCCATCAGATGATTTCGGCAATCTCTGTCATCGGCATGCGCTGTCTCGACCGCTTCGTGCTTGCGCATGACTACAGTTTGATCGGTTGAATACAAATCAAGTTTTTAAATATAATAATTTTCAATAATAATTTTTTATGACAGTTGGATATGAATACGAGGAAATCATATCACTAGTTTAATTAATACCGATCAAATGACTGCCTCTGTTCACTGGCGTTCACTTTCGTCATTGCGTGAGATGATGGCTCATATCAAACTTTCGATTCATCAGACTCAGTATTAGTTTTGATGTATTAAATGAATGATTTGAAACTGGAAAGTGTAGCATTAATAAAAAATAATATTAACATGAATAAATACAGAAATAGTTTTCAATAAAAGTGGGTTTAGAATGATTGATGCCCTCACAGCCTCGCTCATGTGAACTGTAGCCTTGAGCTAGTTCTCCATTACAGGGCAAGAAAAGTGAACTAATAATTGTATTCAGAACCTACTTTATATTATAATGATTATTAATGTACCTAGTTCCTAAGAAATAATATTGATTTTTCCTAATATAAGGATATTCAAAATACTAGACTCAGCCATAGTGATAGTGCGTTTATAATGGCGGCTCCTGAAATTGCTCTGGCCTAAGAACGTGAGTGCGGTGGATATTCCCGCGTTTCCCCGGTGCCAACGCCACATTAACTGCAATTTTACCCCCGGCAGCCGACGTCCCCCGCTTGACTGTCAGGCCGGCCGTGACCTCCGCCAGCGTTTCTTGGACGAAGCGGAGGCAGCAATTTTTCAACGTAACTCTGGCAGTAAGTATTAACAAATAAGATTGGAATAATTCTGTTATGAGACTTGTGATCGTTGTTTAGGATAGAAAAGTATGCAAGTACTAATATAACAAATTCAGAATACTTGTATTATGAAAATTTGGCCTTATACTATGAATGTTTGGCCATGAATATCGCTTATCCTCAGATTTCCAGAATTTGAGGGAAGCTACATGCTAATTAAAGGATTTTAAAAACAGTGGCATGTTTCAATGTTCATAACTTTTGCATGATTTACGTAGATGAAATCAAGAGAAGATTGTGCTACAAAGAAGCCCGACGCTGGTCAGCATTTTCACAAATTAAGCACGGCTAAACTGGAGCTGACGCAGCTGCAGGCGTACACTGAGTACGAGGTGTGCGTGTACGCATATAACGAGGGCGGAATGAACATGAAGTGTGAAGTGTTTGAGACCCTGCAGGACAAAGGTGAACGAGACTGCCTCTCTTCACTGCAATAATTGAGACTCCATATCCATGATATCCATTACCTATATATAAGTCACAAATGAAGATGACGCCGGAATCATTTACTGCATACAAATCTAATAAATATATAACCTACTTATCTTATGTAAGTATGTAATTTTTTGAAGGGGCAGCAAATGAGCGCAAAAAGTACTTCCCTTTTTTTGAGCGCTGAAGTGCGCTCAAAATTTCATGACACCTTTTTTAATTCAAACATTCCGTGGTTGTCATCAGCTCCTGGGCCTGTGGAGGAGTTGACCTCTTCCACGACGTCCACTTCCATCAGCCTGCGGTGGAGGAAACCTTGTCCTCCCATGGCCGCCATCAGGGGCTACCGCGTCAAGGTGGCTACAACCCTTCACTACGTCCAAGCGTCGGAGTGCAGCGACAGCGCTGCCCATTTCTGCCAAACAATCCCGGGACTTCAACCTGAACGCACGTACAGCATTGAGGTCAGGCTTAGTGTAGGGAACTATATACTAGGAATAGGGAGGGAGATGGGAGGGGGAGATGCTGCAGGGAGATGGGAGGGGAAATAAACAATCCCATAAATAAATTTCTATATGGGATTAAAAATTATTCAAGACCAATAAGGCAGTTTTGCCGTCATATTTCTGCCGCCATGGCTAAAGGAAACAAGATTTTGTGGCAGTTTTTTGGCAGCTGTGTGTTGTACGTAGCTTTATCAGTAAAGCCAAGATGTATAGCGGTTCAACTCATGGGAGGTTCTAAAAATGATATGGCCTAAGAGAAAGAGTACTTGCCTACATGTCTATAGTTCCGCTTCAGCCTTTCAATGAAACCTCGAAAGAGGAAATATCTTCTTTCTCCTCCTATCAGTATGTTCATATAACCGTATTGCACAGGTGTGTGTTGCAACGGAATTACGAATACCAGCATGCTTAACCAAATCTTACTGCCCGATTGACCGGAATAGTTGCACTCCCAATTCATGGACGTTTCCCAGCAAACTAGCATCAACCAGAAGATCCTTTACTTCACGAAGATAGAAACTTGGGGCGTCATTTAAACTAGGCTTCTGTTTGAAAATATACAGAGCTTCTAAAATTTAGGTCAAAAACGCCGGTTGTGGAATTTCAAACTTTAAAATCGTCATCGGATATTGGGACGTTGCCATCGTTCGCCATGAATGATTTTTCCAAGTACATTTCCTGTTCTACAAGTCCTTCCTTTATTCTCCGCCAGCCTACTATAAAAACTGCGCGATGTCATACCGACGTACTCAGATGTGCACATCTGTTTTGATAAACTAGGAACGATCGCACAAGAACAATAATAAAATCTGTAAGCTTAAATAACGAGTTGGATTCAGAATTTTTCATAAACAATGCACGTAGATTAAGGTTTGGATGGTATTTGGCAAAAAAAAACATTGAATTCCTTTAACATTCTCTAAGATTTGGGGCAACAGTATGAAAATAAACAACCCACAACGGTCCTGTTATCACACTCATCATGCATAAAATTAAGTTTCTTGAGATGAGAATACCCCAGTGGTGACGGAAAGTCATTTGGCGAATTGCAGTGCACAAAAATTGCAATTTATTTTTCCAACTGATATCTAATATGAAAATAGGTTGCATAAACAAATAATATATGTATGCAACAGGACAATTTGCCTGAGATGCATCATCTTGCAGCATTTGATAAACTACTTCTTAATTATTATTATCAAAATTAATTTGCAGGTTTTTTCAGGATACCTTTCATTATTCAGTTGAAAAAATGCACTTTTTAATCTCAGTGCTCAGACAGTGTATTTGAAAGTTTTGACTTATCTCTAGCAGTTGAAGTGTTAATATGATAATGAGTTCCTGATCTTGGTGCCAAAGTAGAGTAATTTTTCTAATTCAACGTCCAACAATTGTCCATTCTAATTGTCGATTGAAATATGCAATTGTAATAGAATTTTATCCTGTTTACGGCCGTACAATTTAATCTTATTTTCATCGCAATGTTTGTAAGCTGGCATTCTCCAAATTAGTCTTTTGAAATTAATTTCGACATCGAGAACTTTTTCTTGATTATTTGGCCTTTATCACTAGTCTCGGACGGGGCATTAGCATCGTCACTTTTTCTCAAGGTTAAGTCGTACATTACTAAATAAATTAATTTGATACGATTTTCGCGGAATCTGAGAAAATGTTTGGATGGAATTGTGTTACTGATTTGAACATCAGCGGTCAATTTTTTGCTTTTTCTTATATAATATCGAGACTTCAGAAGAACATCATTTTTTCTCAACAGGTTTGCTGATACAGTTGTTGCAATAACAGAGTTTAACTATGACCCTCAATTTCCGCGTTTCTTATTCTATAAGATACTCGGTCGAATACATCAGTCTGTTATTATATATATTTTATCATCTTTGGAATTATAATTACTACCATCCTTGACGATACTTCGATATAAAGACTACTTTGAGACGGTAATGGAAACTGATCTTGTTTCTGATTAATAATCTTGCTGTCAATAAGTTCTCGATCTAAATCAGTTTTAATTTTTAGCCCATAAGCATAAGTTTCAATTTTTTCAGTTGATTCAACAATTTGAACAGTTTTGTTACATTCTGTGCTCTCTATTTTAGTGATTAATTTATCTCAAATTTATCTACATATATTGATACTATCTGTTATTTCTTCACCTCGGATATTGAAAATAATTATATTTTTATCCGCTCAACAAATTAGGAGATTAATTATAAATAAGTTGGCCAAAATACTGTATATTTTTATGCCATGAGGATATTAGGAAAAAATGTACTCGAGTTATTGTATACATTTATAATCATTACGCTGTATCTATTAATTATACAGCACTGATTACGTTTTAACAGACGTTATATTTACTACATTTGTACTAACCTGTTCTCTCCACCTTCTAAGATATAGGCGCCGAAGCCTAACAGAGTATGCAAGCTGTTATGTTTGTTCAAATAAACTTTTAATTGAGGATCGTGACTAGTCATAGCATATTTAAGGGTATCGGTATTTGCCTTAATGTCAATCAAGTCCTTGAATATATTTTAATGTACTTATTTATACACTCCATCTCGTGGCATGAGGTCGGGATTGTTATAACATTTGTATCACCCAGAACTTTCTAATGAAATTTATTATTTGTTTCATCGATATTCGGGGTAGAATGATACACATATAGTCCCACCAATGCCAGTTCATGAAATTCATTTTTAGCGCATTTTCTCATTTATGAAAAAAATGCACTATTGTGCTCGCCATGTCCGTCTGTCCGTCCGTCTGTCTGTTAGTCTGTCTGTCCGTCCGTCTGTCCGTCCGTGACTTCACGGTTTCGTCGACGAAAAAATGCGCTCTCTGTCACTCACTGCAGTGAGTACTGAGTTATATTTTTTATCAAATTTTGATGCAGTTATAAAGTGTATAATAATATTCAATAATATTAATAACTTTGCTTTGTGATTCAATTTTTTTACACAAATTGTTGAAGTTCAACATCATAATCATTTAATAAATCTCGTTTATGAAGTTCATGTGACAATACTTGCAATTCATTAAAGACTCCTATGTTTCCAACATGCAGAGAGCCCAATAGTAAACGATATATTGCAAAAATATCATTAACGGTAGAACGAACAACAATCCCTATCGAAAATTAGTGGTGATCAGTTTTTGAATTGGAGGGCTAATTGCACATCTGAGGTAACCCCGTAAAATCGGCGCCTGAGCGCCAATGCAGGAACAATTGAGGCAAGGAGTTACAGGCGCCGGTTTGTGGGCAATTGTGAGCTTCAGTGCGTGTAGAGTGCGGAATCAAAACTCAGTTATGTATATGTCGGTTAGCTCGTAGCATCGCAGTCACTAACACGGTAACGGCGCTCAGTCATGTACGACGCGATCGGCAGCAGTTGATGGACGTACAAAGAAGGTAACAGGCTTCGCTCGGGCGTGTCGCAACCA